AATTTATCTGTAAAATGTTATCCTTAGAGTATAAAATACCTATTAGGCAGTGTGCTCAGACTGGTTTTAAACAGATTGTTAAAGCCAAACAATTGTCAGAATTATCGTATTTATAGATATTTATGTTTATACATTTAAATTGTGTCCTTACTTTATAGAAAAGGATGATTAATTTTCTTAGAAAAATAGGAGATAATGATTTATCATCTAATTTATTAAAAAATGCTATATCAAAAAATGCAAATTGGTCCAAATAATAGCAACAATTGGATTGTTCAGGTTTCTTGTATTTTTGAGACAGACTTTGACTCATACATATGGATTTCCTATAGGACAATTTATGTAAAAGAATGTTTTTGAGATATCTTTAGCACAAGATATAGATGAACTTAAGGTTAAAAAACTGTGAATGGTATACTATTATTTTAGATTATCCACAGATTAATAATTATCTATTTCTTAATAATTTGCCATTTAATTTAAAAAAATTTTTCATACAGATCAGATTAAGCTCTAACACAGAAACTCTGAACTTTGGATATTTTTTTTATTCTTGTAATGAAACACATGAATTACAGTGCTGAAGTAATCTTCTTAAATTAGAGATTATCAAAAGATCAAAAGTTTTATTTTACATATTTTCACAGATTTGATATAAAGACAATAATTAAATTGTATAACAGTTTTCAAAAATTTATTGTACATGATTAATACATACTTATTCTCTTATGTGTAGAAAATGTATGAGAAATTGTTTTAATAACACTTATAAAACTAACAATTTTTATATAAATTCTTGTATCTTAGCCCTCATGTAATAGGATAAACTGATCCTTATACAGTAAAAGTTTATTGAATTGAATTGAACTGCTTATAACTTTAAGCATATTTTTATTTTATATAATTTTGCATAATTTTTATAAATTATTTAAAATGTAATATGAAAGATTATATTGATACAATAAACTTAAAAATCTACTTTATTATAGCTTGCTAACATTAACTATCAATTTCTCTGATATGTAATATAATATAGTAAGCACCAATAAACCAGAATTCATTCATTTAAGAAATTTGAGTTTAATTGGTTATTTATATTGAAATATTTATTCTCATTTGATTAAAATTTTATTGTATTTAATGTTTCTTTTTATCCATTACTTTAAATAAATAATGTATCAAAATAAACAGTATTTTTAGAATTTATTGGAATAGGCAGAAAATCTCCTAAAAGAATTGAATTATTCATTAGGTATTTATTGTATCTGCAAAATAACATTTAAAATAGATAAAATTAAATTATGACAAACTTATTTGACATATTCAATGAAACTTTAAAAATTAACTTTTAAAGCCTTTCTAAATTTATGTTTAATGAAATCATTAGTTGCTAGTTAAAAGCTGATGTACAATATTTTAGTATTGAAGCTTAGTTATGCTACAGAAAATTTTTTATTGATTTTTGGACTTTATATACATATATCAAAAATGAATTTTGTATGTAGGTTTAAACTGTAAAATTTTAAAAAATGGATAATGTAATCCATGTTTTTATTTATTGCATAACTAAATTTTCAATGTTAATATATTGTATATTAACTTAGAACTTGACTTTTGGTAGTCTTAACTTCATAATTTCTGTTTCTAAATTAATACAAAGCATAATACAATGGCAAAGAATGTACAGCAAGTCCATGCTATGAAGAAAGATACAAATACATTTATAATTATATTAACAGTTTGTTGAATTATAAACAGCAAAATTGTTTCTGTGAGGCAGAAAATAAATGCTGGAGATTGCAAGTATGATTCAATAAGAATAATAGTAACTAAATTATATCTTGTTTAAATCATTTAGCCCAGTGTTTCTCAACCTCTAATGAATCGTCGCCCCCTTCAACAAAACCGTTACCTATTATCGCCCCCTTCAACAAAACCGTTACCTATTATCGCCCCCTTCATTTCAAATTTCCGATGTCGAGGGCCAAGACTAATGCCAAATTCGTACTGCATTGAATAGACTAGTGACTAGTATAATGTTATTTGTTTAATTATTGTACGATATAATGAATAAAATATCTAATTATTCTTAATNGTTTAGAAGGCTTTTATTTTTTTATAAAAAAAGAAAAAAATTATTTTTTTTAGTTTTAAACCTTTTGAATTGAATATATTATGTGATATTTTACTGAGCAGTTCAAAACATTGGTTTTAATTACTTGCTCTGAACAGTTCTTATGAGATCAATGTCAATTATTGATTATGATGATTCTCCGACATTTAATATAGTACAAATAGTTACATTGAACAGCATTATCACAATATGCAAAGTTTAATCGAATTATTCATTATATTGATATATCATTCTCAGATTGCTTACTATAATAGAAACTTTCATTTGTTGGCTTATGTCATCATATTATTTTAAGGTGATGAGTATTGAATATAGGTTAATGTAGTATGATAAATTCATACTTCTTTAGATAATACACTTTTATTAAATAACCACACCATGATAAAACCTTAAAATGTAGTGATATTTTTAATTTTTGAACATTTTTGGTCATTTTTTATTGACCACCTTCAGGATAAATAATGACTGAAGACATTCGAAAATTAAAAGTATCACTGCATTTTAAGGTTTCTGTCATGGTGGGGTTGATGAATTCATAATAACTAAAGTTTTCTGCTTTGACAGTTTTTATTAATATAATATTGAAACATCAATTCACTAACAGAATTCCCATAACTTTAACCTTTCAATGTTACTAAGACAAGAATTTGTATTAGAATTCTTAGTTTAGCACTTCCTTACACAATTTACACTTTTTAGTTTAGCTATTATGTACTGTACGTGATGACACAAATCATTATTGCTATATCTAACTAATATTTCTTTAAAAGATTACTGTAATGTTAAATATTTTAATGCTAAATACTTAATTTAAAATACTCTAACAAGTATCTATGATAAATTGAACTTATTTTTTGAGATCTCCCAAGAAAGCTGATGTTAAATAATAATGAATTGTAGGTTGAGTTTGTTGTAAACATAATCTGTGATATAGTTTTTGTTGTCATTTCAAATCTCAAACAATAGAATGAAAATATTTTAATATTGCAAAAGACATTTTGTTGAAACAACAAATTGTCAGTTTGATTATTCCAGCAAAAGTTTTTACTGTAATTGTTGTCTTTATTTGTATACAGTAATACCTCGACTTACGCGAACCCGGAGTTACGCGATTTTCAAATCTCGTCGATTCGTCTTTTGTTTGAACGCCATGCAAGTCTTGATTACTCACTCCCCCCACACTATTGTTTAGCTTACATGTTCAGATGTGCCGCGCGGAATCGACGCATAGCTACAATTTATTTTGTGTTATTTATTTCTGTGTTTAACAAACACAGAAATAAATAACACAATATCTAAGGAGACTTGAGAGACTCTATGTGGTGATTTCTTGTAACCGTGAATGAATCAAAAGGCGAGGTAAGGTTAACGAGAACATTTATTAGCTTACATACATCAGATTTGGATTTTACACAAATTGCGAAAATATACTCCGACTTACGCGAATTCAACTTATGCGGTTATCACTTGGTCCCACCTATCGCGTAAGTTCAGGGTATTACTGTATATTTGTATATAGCTTCCTGGTATTTTTCAGTTTTGAAGTAGAAAAATTTGCAAAATTACCTACATGTTTATAATCATATTGAAGTAATAAGTGGAAAAACTAGATAATGTGATCTGTTTGGACTTAGTATAAGACCTTTGCCTCTTTTCCTTCAAGAAAATTATTGTCTATTCATAGTAAAGTAATCTTTAAATTGTACTTCAAATCAACAGCTTGTCTTAGAACTAGATTCTTGTTAGTGTTTATATTCATAAATTTGGAGCATATAGGAACAACTGATTGTCAGTTTCTGGAGGAAAGTGGTGCAACACAAAGTAGTGAGGCAAGATGGATAGTAGTCTGTATTGTATTTAAGAAGCTTAACTGCTATAACTTAGTAGTAAATATTGCAACTAAATCTACATACCAGACGAAGTAAATGACAGTCAAATTGCTGTTATTGTAGAGTGCTGAGGCAAAAATATGTTAAATAGCCAAAAATTACATGTTGATGTAATTTTTGTTATGTTTTCAAAACTAATTGCATATAAATGATCAAAATCTCTCAATGTTTTGATGCCTTCTATCAGTAGAAAATTCTGTTAGCTTCACATGACTGTATAAAATATTTTATTATACCGTTATCACCAAGGCGTTTAAGCAAGATTTCAAATGACATCTTGGACGAGAAGGGGAATTGTTTTGTGAACAAAACAGGAATACTTCATCATGTCTTTCTCAACATTGAATGTCTTTACTATGGATATTTGTATTCTGTTTCAACAGAATGTTGGATATGCTGGTGAAGAGGATAAGGATGTGGTTCACCACATTTGTGCATTAAGTCATCAAGAAAAATAAGTTGCCACAATATAAAAATTTCTGTAATAACCCCTAAATATTGTTTTGTTGCTAGTTTGATGATGTGCAATCTGTATAATTATGAGAAATAAATTTCATTTGAATCATCCGATATTACCTCAAAACATACTTTATCTTACCCCACCTAAGGGACAAGACAGAGTATTTAACGTGATTTCATAAACATTGTAAAAAAGAAAAAGAAAGTTAATCATTTGAGTTTTTAGTTGATTGTAGTTGAAATAAACATTTTTGAGCATTTAATGATAGACAAAGTTTTTTCCAAGTTTTAAGTAGTTGTAGAACTTTTATTTTTTGTAGTTAACTATTCCATTTTCCTCTAACTTTCCCCATGTTATAGCTGAAGTTGCAACAATCAAAAATTTTGAATTGATTTTTGAGGTTAAAGTATAAATAATAATTTCAAAAATTCCAAAATGTCTGAAATTAGTCTGAAATGGAATGACTCTGTTAATGAGATTTTAATATTTCCAATTTTTGAGAGAAAATTCAAATTCTGACAGAAATTCAAATTATTCATTGTACCATCATACAAATTTAAAAAAATATATATGTTACCGGCAAAGTTTGAAATCCGGCATTTTATAGAATGCCTAGGCATTGTATATAATGCCTAAAACTAGCCGGCAATCTATGAAACGATTTATATTTTACAGATTTCCTAGGCATTCTATAGAATGCCAAATGAGAAACTGGCAAAGTATGAAATACATCTCCGTTTCGTTTCAAATATCACGTGGCAAGGCACGTGACTTTTAACGAGCGGCTCAGGCTTAGAATTTGTCAGTTGCACTTTGCGGTTTGTTCGGGAGTGTCAAAATACGCAATTTTACTTAAATTTGTTCAACAAAAAATTAGTTTTTTACTGTGGTCCATGAAAATGGAGGAGCAAGCTGTAGTGTTGGAGAAGGTGTCATGGTCTATAGACATGAAACAACGATTCGACGATGAACTGTGCAAAATTCGAGTTAATGCTGCAAAAAACAGTATTTTCTTAACCGAAACTACTTACCAGAAGTTAATAAATGATGTACAAAAAGCCAAAATGACTACTAAGAAGGAACCCAGGGACTATTGGTTGCTGAATCGCTATGATGTGATGATTGTAGAAAACAAAAGTAAACTCATTTATCCTGTTAAAGAAGGCGTCAGTACTATACAGTATTACGTCACGGACTCAGAGTTATTTCACGTACTTCATGAAGCTCATTTGGCTATTGGACACGGAGGACGTGATAGAATGTTGAAAGAACTTTCAATCAAATACAAAAATGTTACACGTCATGATATTGAACTGTACATCCACCTTTGTGAACCTTGCCAGAAAAAACAGAAAGGTATTAAAAAGGGCATTGTTGTGAAACCTATGATTTTTTCCGAATTTAATTCCCGTTGTCAAGTAGATCTTATTGACTTTCAGTCTCAGCCAGATAGAGAATACAAATTTATTATGGTGTACCAAGATCATCTCACAAAATTTGTGATTCTTAAGTCTCTAACGTCGAAAAGAGCTGAAGAAGTAGCCTACAACCTAGTGGACATATTCTCGTTGCTTGGAGCGCCGTCTATATTACAGTCTGACAATGGTAGGGAATTTGCGAATAATGTGGTGACCAGCTTGAAGGAGTTTTGGCCAGCACTGAAGATCGTCCATGGGAAGCCTCGCCATTCACAAAGCCAGGGTAGTGTCGAAAGAGCTAATCAAGATATCGAAAATATGCTCTGTACTTGGATGCAGGACAACAAATCTGACCGCTGGAGTGAAGGACTACGTTTCGTTCAATTTATGAAAAATAGAGCTTATCATTCTGGGATCAAAAGAACACCATACGAAGCTCTTTTTGGCTGCAAACCTAAAGTAGGGCTTTCTTTTCTACCAGAATTAAAAGACATAAATACAGAGGAGCAGCTAGAAAAAGTAATAGAAAGCGTCAAAACAATGGAAAAAGGTGAAACTAATCAGATTACGCAAGATGAGATTATAGTCGTTAGTGGAGTAAACCAACACGATGAAGACATGCTTACTGAAGAGATTTCCGTTTCTGATACCTGTTGTGTGTGTTTAAAGGAAACAAGTGATGCACTTGCATGCAAAAAATGTCGTCAAAAAATTCATACCTTCTGTGGCCATGCTAGTAAAGATGATGAAATGGATATTTTGTGCACCCTTTGTTTCAAAACTGAAAATGCTATTGAAGGTAAAATAAATTCTAAAATCAATCTGGAAATACAAGCCAAAAAATGAAAATAAATTCGGAAAAAAAATTTCCCACTGCTTCTTTGGGAACTACTGTGCGAGTTCCTATTCCTGACGTCGACAAGGGGCGAGGTGATTCGCGCAATATATTGGCAATTGTAATGAGTGTGACAGAGGATGGTTTCTACCGACTTGGAACTTCTGAAGGAATTTTAAAACAAGTATATGCGAGATCACAATTCACTCCATGCCCCAAGAACTTGCTTAGAATTGAAGATATTCCTGACCATGAAATTCCTCTCCGGTCAGTTGCAATTGCTCAGTCCAGTGGAAGCGGCCAAGGATTCGTCAAATGTATGTGTAAAACAAAGTGCCAAAATATGAAATGTCTTTGCGTGAAAAATGTAATGAAATGTAATTCAAAATGTCATTCAAGCCTACCATGTTGCAACAAGTAGGTTAATTGTAATTTTTTATATGAAAATTTTGTTTCCCTTAATAAGAAAGGCATAAATTTTGTTTTGTACAACTTTCATTTTTCTTTACGTATTTTGAATAAATTTTTTTAATGGCGCACTCATTATTTTTTCAGAATAACATTTGTATTTTTGAGGAATGCATGTCATTTATATAATAGTCTTATCAGAACCTTTTTTCATACTTTGCCTAAATAGCATTTGTCATTCTATAGAATGCCTAGGTATTATATACAATGCCTAGGGAAAGTATGTAATAATTCTCATATTTCATAGATTGCCTAAAAACACCAGGCATTATATACAATTCCTAGGTATTCTATAGAATGCCGGCTTTTCATACTTTGCCGGTAACATATATATTAAATGATGGTCATGATACAGTAAAGTACTTTATTTATATTTTTAAAGTATAAAGATTTATTTTGGCAGTTATGATAGTTTCACTGTTATTACTATGGATCCAGAAAGGCTATAGTGGCATGTGCTTTGCACTTACAATAAAATTTAAGTTGTGTTAAATCAGCTGACTCTGTACAGTACATAAAGACTGCAAACGACAAGAATCTTCAGAATCTACATACTGGAACTATGAAGAAAAGCATCTGTTAATTTGGAAAAGAGTCAGTTAATCTCCAGGATGTACAGTACTTGGCTATAAATAATCTTCATTGGATGTTGCTTTTTATTGGTTGAGATGAATTTATGCTGAATTGCTGAAGATTGAAATTTGAAAGCCCTGGTTTCAAAACAGATTTCCATGATAGGTTCTTCTGTTTTATTTTCACATACAACAATTCAATTATCAAGTACCATCAAAGTATAGTGTCATTTGAATCACTGTCACTGTATACAACAAGCCTGATAGGTGTAATTTGACTTGGAACAACTCTTGCTAAATCCATGTTTAATGAAAGATCTTTGCTAATAACTGTTGCTGTTTAAATTTAATGAAAAATGATATGATTTAAGTGATCTAATTACAGAAAAACTCAATTTTGAAAACAAGAAAAGTTACTTGTCCATTGGAATTCAAAATATGAATGAACCAAAATGTGCAATGCCACCTAGCAAATACTTTTTATAAGTGAAGTTTGCGAGAAATGAAAAATTGTGATAAATTGACCTCATTTTTTTTGTCACATACAATATGGAGAAAATATAAATGAAATTTACAATAAAAGTTTCTTCCTAAGTTTTTAAAAGTCTATCTCAGTGTTACAAGAATTTTCTGACGTGATTTGAAGTGCATAATAACTCATTTGAGATTAAAAATAAAACTTAATTTCAGCAAAATTGTCGGTTATGATAAATTGGTGGAAAGAACTCAATATGTTTGGAATTTTAGTTGAATGGTGTTTAAGTGTGAAGGTATTGAACCTTGATGATTCAGACCATTTTCCAGTACAGTTAAAATCAATTGGTTGCCTTGGAAATAATAGTGAATACCAGAAAACCACCTAAAGTTTACATTCAGTTGAAGTCAAACATAGGAATATCAACAAACATAAGTTTCTAAGATAAATTGAAAACAATTCATATATTGTAATATCTCATAAGCTACAGAACGATCTTGAATAATTATTAAAAATTAATTAAATTATTAGATTTGTATCAGTTTAGAAGTTAAAAAAATTTAATGATTTAAAATTTAAACATAAATGATTTTAATAATAATTGCTATTATTATTAAATTGAAGAAGCAAAAGAGTTTGATGCAGCTTAGAATGAATTCAGCTCAGTTCTTAAAAACACATTTAACAAATAAAATAATTTATAAAAATGATTTAAATAAAAAGATGTGTTGTATAAGAGATAAGAAGACATCTTGGAATGTTATAAATAACTTCTATGATTCACTTTAAAGAGTAGAAATTCATTAGTTTCGTTTGAAAGTTGGTTATAGTATTTCAGTGTCTTATTTTCAGAAAATTATTTACATAAAAATACTTTTTTTTTATATACTTATTGACCAGTTAATGGACAATACATATGAAGATTTATTTAATGTGAGTAGTGATAATATAAGGAGAATAAAGGATATGACTATATTTCCAAGTTTGTAATAAAAAATTTGTCAGTGAATATTGTAGAACTATTGGTTAGATAATTTCTATATTTCTATAACTTTAGTAATATTCTAATAGATTGGAAGAAAATTATTGTGTATATGCTGTTTAAAAAAGGCAAAAAGAAGCATCTACAAAATTTTAGATCTATAGCAGGGTTTTGTAAGTTATTTAATTTCATTAACAAACTTTAATTCATGGGTTGAAGAGAACAATTATAGAAACCCCATGCAATTTGCTTTTCTCAAGAATAGAGGATCCATAAATTTTGAACTAACTGGAGAGGTAGATCACAAAAATTCTAGTTTTCCATTCTATTGTAACCGAAGAAGGTCAGTGAAACTGGTCAAAAACATTCTTATTTTATTAAATTCATTTTTTCTTTTTAAGAGTGGAGTATTCAGTTGGTCTTATTTGTTTCAATTGCCATTATTCAGCTGCAATTTACTAAAAAACATAATAAATAAAGACAAAACAAAGATAAATAAAATAAAACAAAGCCAAAAAGTCTGTTTTATTTTTAGATAATAGGAAAGGCTATGATTCTGTCATTATATTTAATTTACAAAGAAAATTGACTAAATATCAGATAGACAAAAAAATCTTATAACAGGTATATTATTCAATCAATATAATGTTGTGATTTCTACAGAGAACTATTCAATGGTCATCCTCCAAGACAAATCATGATCTTCTGCAGGTTAATCACTGGTCACAGCATTTAACTTTTACATGTTTGATTTTAATAATCGCTTTAAGAGAGAGGAAGATTATTTCTTAATTGACAAACAGGTTGTATCAATACATATGTAGACATTATGTTAATTGCATCAACTGCAGCTACATTAAATAGGAAAATAATACTAGGCTATACGAGGTTTCTATGAAGAATTAGAATTAAAAATTAATTCTAATAAATTATATGCAATGATATTTTGTAATGGATGTAGACCACAAAAGAAACATATGTCCTTTTATATTAAAAAAAATAATTAAAATTGGTACAAGAAATTAAACTCTTGAGCTATCTCTTATGCTGTCATTTGATAGACAATGTAAAGAATGTTTGCATAAATCTAATGTATTGATCATGAATACACCTAAGCTATTTAAACAATTAAAGCTGGAAAATCCCATTACTCAGTTTAAAATATTTAATTTTATTATCTGTGAGTTATGCTTCATCTGGTTGGTGTTACACTAAATGTCAAAGGCTAGAAGCAGTACAAAATTTATCTGTAAAATGTTATCCTTAGAGTATAAAATACCTATTAGGCAGTGTGCTCAGACTGGTTTTAAACAGATTGTTAAAGCCAAACAATTGTCAGAATTATCGTATTTATAGATATTTATGTTTATACATTTAAATTGTGTCCTTACTTTATAGAAAAGGATGATTAATTTTCTTAGAAAAATAGGAGATAATGATTTATCATCTAATTTATTAAAAAATGCTATATCAAAAAATGCAAATTGGTCCAAATAATAGCAACAATTGGATTGTTCAGGTTTCTTGTATTTTTGAGACAGACTTTGACTCATACATATGGATTTCCTATAGGACAATTTATGTAAAAGAATGTTTTTGAGATATCTTTAGCACAAGATATAGATGAACTTAAGGTTAAAAAACTGTGAATGGTATACTATTATTTTAGATTATCCACAGATTAATAATTATCTATTTCTTAATAATTTGCCATTTAATTTAAAAAAATTTTTCATACAGATCAGATTAAGCTCTAACACAGAAACTCTGAACTTTGGATATTTTTTTTATTCTTGTAATGAAACACATGAATTACAGTGCTGAAGTAATCTTCTTAAATTAGAGATTATCAAAAGATCAAAAGTTTTATTTTACATATTTTCACAGATTTGATATAAAGACAATAATTAAATTGTATAACAGTTTTCAAAAATTTATTGTACATGATTAATACATACTTATTCTCTTATGTGTAGAAAATGTATGAGAAATTGTTTTAATAACACTTATAAAACTAACAATTTTTATATAAATTCTTGTATCTTAGCCCTCATGTAATAGGATAAACTGATCCTTATACAGTAAAAGTTTATTGAATTGAATTGAACTGCTTATAACTTTAAGCATATTTTTATTTTATATAATTTTGCATAATTTTTATAAATTATTTAAAATGTAATATGAAAGATTATATTGATACAATAAACCTAAAAATCTACTTTATTATAGCTTGCTAACATTAACTATCAATTTCTCTGATATGTAATATAATATAGTAAGCACCAATAAACCAGAATTCATTCATTTAAGAAATTTGAGTTTAATTGGTTATTTATATTGAAATATTTATTCTCATTTGATTAAAATTTTATTGTATTTAATGTTTCTTTTTATCCATTACTTTAAATAAATAATGTATCAAAATAAACAGTATTTTTAGAATTTATTGGAATAGGCAGAAAATCTCCTAAAAGAATTGAATTATTCATTAGGTATTTATTGTATCTGCAAAATAACATTTAAAATAGATAAAATTAAATTATGACAAACTTATTTGACATATTCAATGAAACTTTAAAAATTAACTTTTAAAGCCTTTCTAAATTTATGTTTAATGAAATCATTAGTTGCTAGTTAAAAGCTGATGTACAATATTTTAGTATT